GGTTTAATCAAGTTTTGCTAAATGAAAACTCAATATGGTTTTGACTAGTCTTACCCTGATGTAGATTTTTCCAACATATTTACTATCTCTAAGTTAATAACACAAAACAATCAAATTCAAGCATGTAGTATTCAAAAAAGCCATATATATACACATATGAATATATATTATGCATTTCATCCTATTCTTTATCCATCCACAGTATTGAACTAAATTGTTTTTTTATTCTTTGATTGTATCTTCAGTTGATGAAATCCCCAAAATGACTATATTTAGCCCCAAAAAAAGCATTTCTCTACTCTGAGCTTCAAGCTGAAGAAGAAATAACCATCTAATCAGATGTTTATCTCTCCCTCCTCATCATTCTCCATTCATGCAGTTCTGCCTCATTCAGTTTCTCTCTCACTGACTCCTTTATTTTTATGAGGAACTCACATATGTTCAAACACAGAAGACAAAGTGTGAAACTCAATGTTCACAAATCATAGTGATAAATGATCAAACCCACTCATAACTAGCTCTGAAAAAATACCCCAAAGTTCCTCTGCTTCTGTTACCATAACAACCCCTGCTGTAGCACAACATCCTACCCCCGGCTAACGTAATATCAAATTACATAGGGCCTGATTTTCCTTGATCATAAAATGCTAAAATCTGAGGCAGTTTATTTTTGGGACAAATTATCTAAAATGTGCACTGTCCCTGAGAATTGGGAAATCTAGTCACTATAACGGAAAGGCCAACAAAATATAAACAAGGAGGTAAACTTTGCTGGGCATTAAACTTTCCTTCCACCCATAAATCTATGCTGACACACAAAACTGAAGAACTAATGTTAAAGCAGCCAACCAAACCTCAGCCTGAAGGTAACATGATCTTACCTTTGTAGGAATATCAGAGCAGAGCCTTAAGATGTAGCTTTGGAATTTTCCATCCATGTTTCTGTCGATCCTAACCATTGTCTGTCTCTACAAGAAATACATATTTTATTTTAGATGGATCATATTATTATCTAAAGGTCTTTCTACACCCACCAACTCTGTCTTTAACATTTTTGCCGCCCTAAGGTGGTGGAGAGCAGAGCTAAATAAGAATATGATGCAGCACAGCATTGTTGGTTCAATTTTTGACAGACAGATTAGATGCACAAAAGGCAGAAATGTTGTGATGAATTGTTTTCATCATGGTCATGATTGTTTTATATATATATATATATATATATATATATATATATATATATATATATATATATATGTATTTTTTATTATTATTATTATTATTATTATTATTATTATTATTAAGAAAAAAATAATACATATAGACATAAAATAGAATAATCATAAAATAATTAAAAAAGGCCCCCAAGTCCGGAGTTCTAAGGCCTCACTCTATCTGAGTCAATTTTTTTATAAGATTTTGCAACCCTTTTGTCAAAAATATGGAAAAATTAGGTGAAAAGGTGCCGCCTTATTAAAAATAAATTAAGGACAATAACCCTCTTTTCTTTTTTTAACTACATGTCCTGTGTTCATTTAAGGCTTACCATGCAGAGAAGCTGTTTGCCTACATTTGCCAGGGCAGCTTTGCTTGATAAAAAAAAAAGGATTTCTAAAGATGAAATCGGAATTGGATGACTGACTTTATTATGGATGACAGCAACCAGTATCAAATCTGACATTCATTGCTGTAAAAGTAACCGGTATGTGTATGACCTTCAGTCATATTTGTTGTGATAAGCGGATTAATGTTGGCAAATTTTGTCACATTTAGGTGCAAAAATGCAAGAGTGTCAAGAACAGACGAAGGTCTGAAATGTGCAGCACCCAAGGGCAGCAAAGTACCTGGTTTTAGTAGGTTGCAGCAGTCTCAGACAGACAGACACAAGGCATAACCTGCAGCCAGGGAGGCACCTCCCTTGCGAGCACTCATGGCCAGAACAGTTTCAAGTTCAACTTCGCATAGCTTATATTTGATCACTTTAAAATCTTACAGCCGAGGACCCAACACCTCCTAAAATACTGGTTACAGTAGCATGCTTGAAAAGAGGGCATGGTGGTCGATTGGCCCAACCTAGGGTTGCTCTAAAATACCCTTTACTAGATTAAGTACTAAACCTGGGCCAGAATCCCTGTACTTATTGGCCACCATTGCAAAGGTGGTAGGAAATACACCTAAGCCAGTAAATGATGATTTTAATAATTGAAGAAAAAATACCAGTAGGAATTTTTTCTGTTGGTTTTCTTTACAAAGATCCTCTCCACAAGATTAAAATCTGCAAAGTTTAAACACATATCTATGTTTAAAGTCTTTTTATTGTTCATGCTCATACTTTTTCCGTTTCATCTCATTTGTGATGAACCACATTTTTGATGTCTTCACATTCTTTTATTCAAAAGCCTTAAACAGATGAACATTGCCAGAGAGCATCTAGTCAAATTTCCCAGACAGTTTGGTGATGTGTTAGAGTATTTGTGCAAAATTCACTCAAACGTGGATGTAGACAAATCTGCTTCTGAAATTGTAGGGTTTTGTTAATTATTGTGGGTTGAAGTTTAAGGAGGTTATCTATTACAAGGGAAAGTGCTGCATTGATTTAATCTTAAATTTTATATGCAAAGAAAAAGATTTTATTTGGTGATATTTTTTATCAGTGCCACATAATTGATTAAGGGTTTCAGATCCTTTCCTTGAAATATGTCTTATAAATGATTCAGTTCAGTTTCAATTCAACTCAGTTTATTTAATTTGCAACACATGTCATTTAAAGGCACTTTACAGAGACAATTCCTTTACTGATTTATTCCTGTACTGTTTATGTTTAAAGTTGAAAATAATAGGCCCTTTTTGCATGATTTCTTGGGGGTTTCAAATGGAATTTTGTCTGCATGGGATGATATGAGACCTATTCTTTTCTAGATATTCCCACCAAAGGGGTTCTGATATTGATGTTTTTAAAAGCTGCAGCATGCTGCCTAATTAAGGATCCAATAAATAAATTTCTGTATCACAGATTCCCCCATCAAGAGACTATCCCTTACGGCAGGACAATAGAGGGATTTGAATTAAAGCAGATCTATTTACCATTATAGCCTAGTCAAAGTTCAAATGTAAATCAAATTTAGGATCTGTGGCATACCTTCAAAATAACTGTCCCATCTCTCTCCATGCAGTGTGACTGATCTTGAGCTATTTTGCAAATAACAGGCAAAATTTTCAGTTTTACTAAGCCCTGCAAGAACATGGTGAAAAAAAAAATACAATAAAACTTTATTTAGACAAATTTCAAAATCCTGCAATATTTCTTAAGTGTTGAAATTTGTCACTACACACAACACCAGATAGATTTTATTTCTTGGCACTTGGTTGAAGACACTTTCAGAAGTGCTGTTAAAACAGCCATCACAGGGTTTTTAGGTGGTTTTAACGTAGGGAATTATAGCAGTAATATTTGCCTGGTCTGAAAAGGTAATGTCTGCTTGTCAGAATGAAAATATAGTAAATATAGTTCACTTAGTTCCTAAAACTATTAGACCAAACACGTTTCCCATTACTACTCTCACTTGTAGGTGAAAATAGAATCCTTTTGGATGTTGTTCACCAAAGTTTATCAACTTCTGATTCAGAATTTCAAAATCAAAGTCCTCCAAAATCTATGTTTTGATCATTATTTTAATCAAGGTTGCTGCTAATGTTTTCAGTAAACACTTTTTATTTATTTTCAGATAACAGTCAACAAATTTCAATATAAAAAGTGAGATTATGGAGGATTTTAATTTTGAGATTTTAAATCAAATATTGATGAGAAACATCAGGGTTCTTTCATACAGTCTTGTCTTAATAATTTTGGAAACTAAGGGAAAACCAACAGATGCTCTCAAGTAAGGAAATTCTCAAATACTATCCTAATTTATGGTGTTTGCATGATCGATAAACACCCTCCTAAGGGCTGGCTTGATCATCATTTTCATCTGTAGACCGCTTGACTGCAGTTATGAAAACCACATCTTCTGCCAAAGCACCGATTTGATGTTCATTATTTAGCCCATTCACAAAATAACTATCAAAAAATGTTCCCCACAGATGAGAGTCCTTCATTGCATTGGCTGTTTGGTGCGTCTCAGAATTTACCCATATTTCAATGATATTGCCGGATCCTGCAAAAGTAAGTTAGGATTTTGAAAAATGTTTGCAGGATCGCAGGATTGTAGTATTTTTCTGCATGGCTCCTTTGTATTTATATGCCATCACAACACTGGTACCATACAATCAGCTCATAGAAGCTGAATTGAAATACACCACACTTTTCAGGATTTTCTTTTTTAATATTTGGAATTTTACTTTACCATTTACTCCACTCCCAATTTACCGGTTTCTGTTAATATCTTACAATGAAATGGATTGAGTTTTCTGGTTGACAAAAGTTCAGTTGCTATTAATACAATTAATAAATAATTAATTAAGGCTTTGTGTTTACACAAAGTGCTATTATGACCAAATTAGATTCTATAGTGATTGTTTACTTATTTGATCATCTAACTTCAAATATAAAAGGGTGTTAATGAGAGAATTTCAAAAATTGGCAAGGGTAGAGGTCTTTTGGTTGATAAAATCTACTGTGAGCATGTATTATCTCGAATAAAACACCAAACATGTGGCAACAGGCATAATTTTCACATAAAAAAATATTGACAGCACTAAGGATCCTTCATTTACTTCACCACAGACCGTTGCTGTTGATTAACAATGTGATGTGAGCCCAATATCAAAGTGAACTATTAAACCAGACATGTCAGGCATTTAATACAGCAAAACAGAAACACAAAAAAACAACAACAACTCAAAAACGACAATGCTAACGCTTCAAAATCAGAGGGTTTTTATCACAGCAGGAAGCCAAAAGTAAGGCGCAGCAACCAGCTGACCTAACCCTGTTTTGAATCACAGCCTCAGCCTCATTTCCGCCAACAAAACACACAAAATAGGTTATGTTAAAAACAAAATTGTTTTATTTTTTTTATCTCCCTCCACTTGATATCATTTTCCACTTTGTGGATTTTGAAAAAAAAAAAAAACAACAGCAAATTAATAAAGGTAAAAAAGACAGGATTGGCAAAAAAGAAAAAAATACAATCATCACTATACAGCACAGAACAACAAGTCTCAGGATGGAAAACTAATGTTTTGTTCCTTTCATTCTTTCTTGCCTGTTTACATTGATAACAATCTCTAGGAATGTAATAAGACCTGCAATCCAGGTGTGTGTGTTATGAAAGACACAAACAATCTGCCCAGTGGAGCTCAAATGGAAAACAAACACACAGATGCACACATATTGCTCACACACGAGGCCCTTGAAATTACTAATGGATAATGCACACTTCAACATGCAACGCTTCAGTACTTGTGCTAGGTTCTACTCAATGTATCCTCAAAAACAGCAAAAAAGTAGGTGAATCTGAAAAAAAAAGAAGGGCTGGGGACCCTTTTTTACAGATCATCTGCATACAAAAACAGACTCTGGAATCAAAGAAAGTGTGGATAGAGATGGACAAGGAGAGGAACAGGGAGAGATGGGTTTCACATTCAACACCTACTCAGCTTATTCCAGCAAATATACACAGTTGGACTTCTCAAATAAAATTTATTAGTTTCCAAATGAGACATTTTTCTCTTTCTATTCCCAGCAGTAATTTCTTCGCGAGGCACAGAGCCGCCCTTCCTATTTTCTCATGTATCCTAGATTCCAGCATATTATCCTGCAGATGTGACTTCGCCTAAGCTAGGTTTGTAACATAACAGCTTTTCTGAAACATAGCTGCAATATTAATCAGCACAAAAATAACGGTAAAAAAAATAATAAAATAAAATCCATCTTTTTTCCTCTCTGTCAGGCCTCAGCATTGTGAACAATATTTACCCATTGGTTGATTGACAAGGAAAATGCAGAGCGTGGGACGATTATTCACAGAGGCCAAGTAATGGTGCTCTCTCTGTGTTGGAGATGGGAGGTGGGCGACTTAATGACTAGGAAAGACGTAGTGGGCGAGATTCCTGCTTTGTGCTTCTTGACTGTTGCTGTTGCCCAGCCATTGGTGTGCGGCATACTGTTAATTAGGCGGATGCTTCTCCTCTTAGAGAGGTGAGTGATTGACAAGATACCATCTGTGACTACATATATGTCTGTCTATCTGTCTGTCTGTCTGTATCTCTATTTATCTCATGCAGTTTTTCCTAGTATCATTGACAGCTAGTAAGCTGTATACGAGTGCATACATTAGCCACTATAATGAAACTGGATTGCTTCTTAATAAACTTGCAACACTGAGTTTGCCCATGAGAGGAGAATGGGCCTCCGGATAGCATGTAAACAATGGATGATTGGGATAATATATGGGAATTAGACGTGCTTTGCAGTAAAGGACATGAGCAGGGGATTTGGAATAATGATATTGATTCATATGCAATTATCACTCTGTTGTAGCATATCCTTGTAGTATACTGCCTCTAGATGCTGTGAGGCTCTGCGATACATGTAATTTATTTGTTCTGTGCATATTATCCCCATAGTAGCATAATTTAAGTCTGTATAGTCCTGCCAATAAATTGCATATGCCACGTTACAGAAACGCTATGTACCAAAGCAAACAATAAAAATACTAAGCTGCATTTACTTGAAATGAGAAACTAATGACTATTTCTTTATTTCCCTGGATCTGACTCTTGCTCCTCAGTACAGAGTTTACCAAGCTGACATTACAGCTTGCCCAAATAGTTTCAGAAAAGGGTCTAAAATCAATGTGCAATTAGGGGTGTCTTGTATCAGGCATGATGAATTATGCTCTTTGCTCTAAGGCTGGGTTATAGACACTTGATCAATCCAGTTTCTGTGGCTTGGGAGATATTGCTCTATTTCAAAGCCGTTCGGTCAGATGTATTGATTAACTATTGTGTGGAGGATTGAAAGTCTATTCCAGGGTTTGCTCTGAGCAGTAAAGCTTCTGTAGAAAGGCCTATGCTTTAAGCCTTCTGCAATATATTGAACTATAAGATGTATACATGTTGTTTTAGCTAAGCTTACAGTACATTATGTTTTTCTACAGTATGCATTTAACATTTTAGTACAGTACTTCTATACGGACAATTTAGACACTATTTACACTACCTTTTTTTGTACGATTGCTGTTAATTGTTTACAATCCACTTCCTGCAATGTTTAAATACACCAAGATAATTAACAAATGTAAGGTAATAAAAATGCATTAAAATTCTTGGTTTATTTTAAGATAAAAGTCAGCTAATCAAAGTAAAGCGATTAAGTGCAATACAATGTTACATACTGTAGACAGACTGAAGTGTTTAGAGCTGCAAACAACATGGCCTCTTATTAAGAACGACTCTGCAAATAGATCATCATAACCAGCTACAGGAGCCAATCACCACTTTCTCATCAGGGTATGCTGAATGTAATTAAGGACTGAAGAATTGTCTTGTTTATATCACTGTAAACTCATTGCACCCCAGTTGGGGTGTTATTTACACACTAGAAATAGGCCAGACTGAATTTGTGATCAAGGCTATGTTAATGATGTTCATATTACATTGTGAGAGCATAAATAGAATGTGCTACACCTTCCCCTGGGGGAGGCCATGGCGCTCAAGTTTGGAAAAGTGTTATGAATGCTTGTCAGTCTTCTTTCCCTCAATGAAGAGTTCAGAGTCTGGTTAGTGTCATTGAAACTCCCTCTGGTTCTGAGCTTTTGGTTTTGCATTGTCAAGGTTTCATCCCAGGGGATTATCAGAGTGGTTGCTTTCTCAGCATGAACTTCATCTACCCTTAAATCTTACACCCCAGGGATCTTCCAGCTTGACAACCCTCTCTTCAGCTAAAATCTCTGTTTCACCAAAAAAAAAATCATCTAGTCAAATATTTAAGCAGCTTATAACTTTTCCATTGACTCTTATCTAAAACTGTCAATACTGTGCAATTAAAAGATATAAAAACAGCAGTAAGCACTTGCTGTTATGAAATCTCTAGATTTTACTTTCAGAAGAGATGGTTTGCAATTTCTTCTTAAATCAAATATATTGAACTGAATGATGGTAAAAGGCCTTACTCTAGAATAATGGCAAAAAAATTATTTGATTTAATGTCGCCAGATAATTGATAAAACCTTCAGTGAGTTACGTTTCCAAGCTGTAAATCCTAATGCAGCATGCCATATGGTGCAATAAAGCAAATGTATGTGTAAACACAGACTGACAATTAAGATGTTCAGATTTTTGTTTAGACCAGTACCTTTTTTTCAAGACCTTCCACCACTGAAAGTTACATACATAATAGAGATAATCTGACATCTTTTTTTTTTTTTCAAAATCCACCCATATATAATTACTGACATGCTATTTCCAAACACACTTTGACAATCATGACAGCATGTTGTTTTGTTGTCCACATTTTTTTTTATCTTCTTTTTATCTTTATCAACAACATATTATGTACATACAGATGTTATGGGCCGCTTGAAATCCTCAGTGGAAAGCTGACGTGTAACAGTACATGAGTTTAAAATAAAAAAATTAAAATAAAAGACAGTAAGAGGTTAGAAATATAGCAATAAATGAGTCACAGACCAAATGACCTGCTATTGTGCTTGAAATGGAATCCATCATTGTTTTGGGAGCAAGTAATTGCATGCACAATATGTGTTCTTTAACACCCAGATACACTGCAGAGGAAACGACATGTAGTGTCCTAGATTAAGGGCCATTTTAACAGAGCTTCACAATCATTTCCGAGGACTGTATACAGGAAAAGTACAACAACAGACTTTTGATAGAGCTTGTTAATGGCAGATCATTTTAGATAATACACCACAGATTTGACAATGATGGAAATCCATTAAATACTAAAAGTAGGAGTTATTGCTGATTTGATAAAGAAATAAAATTAAACAACAACAAGAAAAAGAAAAACATTCCACATTTGATTCAGTATTGAGTAATTCCCCTGTCATGTTGTAATAGTCAGGGTTCAGCTGGGGTAACTTCATCCCTCGATATACACTTTTATGGCAAATTTGCATATAGTCTCTGAATGTGAGCTGAACGCAAGAAATGGATTCAGACATGATGCAATATGGGATTTCCTCTCGCTGCTTGTGCTGTACAGGGTTTTTAGTCACAGGTACACATCAATGGTAGTGGCTGTGCACCATTGTGAGATGTGTCCTTTAAGAGGATTCTTGTCAGTTTTAGGCTTGAACTTGATTTATGGTGGCCATAACTGTACGACGGAAAGGACAGGTGGAGCTCAAGCTCCTTCGCTCACCCAGCCACAAGTAATGGCTAATTACATCTTTATCTCCCTGTGGTCTGGCAGAACAAGAACTGACTTACAGCCTCAACTAGAGACCAACATGGATCCAAATCATTTATCATAGCTGGTCAGTAGAGGACGCACAAAGAGAAGAGGACAGATGTGTGTAAATGTGTGTTTGATAGAGGTAAAAGCATCACAGAAAGAGTCAAACGCATAAACTGTTACAAATTATAAATTACATCACCAGCCACCACTCCAGGACACGGATGAAATGACCCCTTTAAACAGTTTCAAAAGTAAATTTAAAAAGCCCGTCATGGTGAAATAGACCACACCACTTCAAAACCTTTACACCTTTTTTTTTTTGTTTCATTTTTTTTTATATATATCTTCATTGAAGTTGTCCGATGTGTGTGAGCAAAGTAGAAAATCTTTCTCTTTTTTCACAACTTATCAACGTCATATTTTATTCATTTTTTCTCCCTTGCATGGAATTACTACTATTCATTGTTACTCAAATACTTATTAACATCATCAGCATCATCATTATCATCGGTAGTAGTAGTATTAACACCAAAAAAGTAAGTAGTAAAAGCAGCTAACCTTGCAGAGAAAAAAAAACAGACAGTGCAGGAAGGGAAAGGGAGCGTATGGACTTACAACAGGAACATCTCTAACCAGTACATGCTATCAACAAGCGACAAAGTGGATGGAACTGCAGAAGCTGTGAAACAGAAGATGTTTCAGTGAACAGTCTCTTTCTGCTTCAGAAGACTTAAGTGTAGTTGAGGCTTACTTAAGGTCTTGCATGGGGGGCCATCTGAAGTTGGTCCCAGAGATGGCCTCTGTGCTGCATATATTTACAGTGGTGAAATGAAAAGCGGAGGGCAGGTGGTAAAGGACTGATGAGCAGCGGAGAACACTTTAGCATTATGAAGGTCAACTACACAAAGCACTTTTAACACAGAGGCAAGGAGGGGAAAAGGGGGGGGCTTAAAAAGGTCTGGGTAGTGAGGTTTACATGCGAAAACTTAGTATAAACCTCCCCGAATTACATAAAGGGGACTGACACCATCACCACCCATCCTTTTTTTTAATACATTTTGACATCATTCATAGCAGCTTCACTGCTACACTGGTAAAATAAGAAATAACTATAATAAAAATAAAAGAAAACATAGATGTTGTCACTCAGTTTAAGTGTGTGATCATAGGGTGAAACTTCACATGACAGCCAGTATCACATCATTACTATCATTTCCATACATAACCACCGAAATATTGTGATTTTATGTATCATTTCCATAAGGCAAACATTGTAGGTCAGTCAATAGTCTGTGTTTTATCTTACATAAATGACCGTACAGTTGTTAGATTATCTATTTTCTCATTTGTCACCATCACCATTAATATACACTTTATATCAACATCACCTCAGTTGGAGTAATGGGAGAAAACAAAGGTTGGAGGGGGAAGAACCAAGTCAGACAAGTCTGCAAGGCAAAAAGGTCTAATTCTATGTGTGAAAGAGAAACAGAAGAAGGGGATATTGTGACTAAGTTGAATATACTATAATTGAATTGAGGATGTGCAGGGGATTTCTAGGGAGTAGTTGTGTTTGATGCAGTGATTCAATGGCTCCTGAAATAATGCATATTCTTTTAGTTCACAGTGATGGGTTCGTAATTAAAGAATTTCATTTCCGTTTTCCTTCAGTTGAGAGCGGGGAGAGAGAGAGAAAGACAAGAGGGAGCAGAAGAAGAAATTGGGCTTCCAGGGAGTGTTTGAGGATGATTCCAACAAACAAGAGCTTCACACTTTCACAAGAAGAACAGCAGAGAGGGAAACCCAAATGCACAAGCTGGCACTCATCCCTGGATGTAAACCGGCCCCTCGCCCCTGGAGAGCTCCTGGTCCTGAAGAAAAAAATAGGAGAACGGAGGAAAGAACAGGGAAAGGAGTAAGGGGGAAAAAAAAGCAAAGTTACTATCACATAGAAAATTAGTTTTTACACTCTGAGGGACAGAATCTCCACATCAGTAGCTCTCCCATCCATCACAATTTACATCTACATTCAGAGATTTTCACACATGACTTCATACATATCGATTTGTAATCTGATTCATGGAAAAAAAAAATTCTGGCTGTTGACTGTGCTGATTTATTAAATGATAAAACCAGGTATCAAATACTCGCTATATGTCTCTAACTAAAACATGCCAACTAAATTTAGCAAACATTTTCTGCAGCATTTCAACAACTGTAAAATTCAACTGATATTCTAATGCACTTGAAATAAAAAAAAAAATAGCTATTTATCCAAAGTATTAGGCTATAAATAGCAGGCTTACACAAATTCTAATCTATTAAGCATTCGTGCATATGTTGCAAATAACAGTTTACACAAGGGAACCTACTGATGGCTACATACATCATCTGAATCTATATCACCATCTCTGTCATAAAGCTTAATACCAACGACCTTATAATTTTTGTACTTGTTGCTTCACTACGACATTTCATAACCATGATGAAGCACAGGAGTCATTAATTTCACTTTGGTGTCTCTGCGTTCGATACATGAGCGGATAAAGGTGACCTTAGAAACCTTAATGAATATTCAGAACATGCTAAAGCCCTACACATGTCAGCATGTTTTAACACTATCCAGGTTGTAATTTTTAACAATCAGAAATCATTAATTTTACACCATTAAAAGGATGACAACAATATTTTTCCTGTGGCAATTTTAGCTATCCTGGCCAGGACTTATGCAGTATCAACATTTCTATATCCACATGTTTTCAAATGTATTTGTTAGAAGAAAAGAAAACATATAGGTCAGCCATGTCTAAAAAAAAAAAGAACAACTCAACTAATTGTCGATTATAGTAAATCATGAATTAACTGTTTTGAAATTTGAAAACCAAAGTTTACTTCCAAAAGCTCAACTTAGCTTGACAACATGAAGAAGGCTAAGCACATTGAAAAAGGCAACAAATTATTCAACAATCTAAGGAAACAATGAGAAATTAATAACTAACATCTATCATTCTATAATGGCAAAACTAGTTCAAATTCTTTGAGAAGCCAGAAAAGTAAAGTGTTAGCCTTTATCCTCAGTACTATGAAGGAACTATGGAGCAATTGAGAACATTTTGGGGAGTGACCGGACAACTTAAGCTACGTAATCCAGGAGCTTTCAAATTAATCATCAACAACATCTAAAAAGAGCAGTTTTGTTTTGGGAGTCCAAAACCTCTGGCATACTCATTGTTAACTATTTGTATATTTATCTAGCACACACTAGAATACGTTTCAGCATATAGAGGTGTCCTTTTATAGCTTTATTATGTCCGATACGATATTGATATTCCATCTTTAAGAATGGAATGTTGTACTGTTATGATATAAGCATGAATCATACATACTTTTATTACTTATGTTGTGTTTAAAAAAAAAAAAAAAAAAGATTTGATTAATTTATATGACTTTTTAGGTATATTGGAGGATTTTCGAGAATTTTTGAAAAGCCCCGTACTCTCCACTTTAAAAACAATGCACGTGCAAAACCCTGTACCTACTCATGAAAGGGAATGCCTATCAAAGGCTTGTGAGAGCATGCATGTGCCCATTTCTCCTCGTGCACGCTCTGTTTAAAAGTTGCTGTTTGCATTGCTCATACAAGCTTACTTTCCAAAAGAAGATTTTCCAATTTTCCACTATGTCAGACTCACCACTGCTAAGGGAAAATGGGAACGAGCATGTAGCACAGCTTTGTGTAAACAAATCACTGGAATGATTGACAATTAGGAGGACCACTTATTATGATCCACTCAGAAAAAGAGCATCCTACACTGTACCTTTAAACTGAGAAAAATAGTCAATAACAATAGGTGTAAGAACACGTTATCCATGAAACATTAACAAATGGGTTACATTAACTATAGACAGAAGCTACTACCGGTTAGCCGATATAAGCCAATATTATTCTTTTACCTGACATTGGAACTAATTTAAACCTATAAACATATTTAAAAGTAAGTAACTCCAGCTCTAGATTAGTCAGTGCTTAAATCTGGTAGTACTGTGAGCATTTCTTTTGTTGTGAAATGCATATCCACTCTATGGAGTTCAGACTAATTTAACATCTGTGCAATCCACAAAGTGTATCTACATCATTGTGCCAAAACAACATCTAGCTGTGCTGAAATTTGGAGTCCACTTGATGGACTGTAAGATGGATCCAGCTGTTCAAACTTTCTTTCTCTAATATAAGTCCGCAATCATCACTTGGATAAGCAAGCCCATTCCATCCAGCTGAGAGGCATTCAATAATTAATCCATTGCACACAGTCTGATACAGGAATTAATTATATTGCAGCGCAGAAGGGGTTTATGATGGCAGTCTCTTACCTAATCTTAGCTATGGCTCACAGTATGTGATCAAAGCTGAGTCATATACTGACATACAGCAAAATATTACAATAATCATGCAGTAGAGCACTGCAAAGTTATTTTGCTGGTTTGCTCAGTGGGAGGCAAAAGAACTGGAAAGCTTATCAACCTGCTAAGCTGATATTTTTTCTGACCACATTGGTTTGATGTAATTGTAGACTTTGAGATACTTTTAAAAGAGATATTCACTGCAGAGGAGTTCACAGCTAAATAACATCCATATATGAACCAAGAAAAGTGAGCTACTAATCAAATTAGGCAAGGCAATAACAAAAAATGTGTTAAACAAA